TCCTTTTTTTCAATTAATGAAAACTATTATGAGATACACAACTGGCCAAAAAGCTAAGAACATGTGACTGTGGCATGTTCAAGTCCTACTCCTGACGGGAAGGCATGAAATCCTTTCTATTAATTTGTCTGTTAAGTGCAATTTGACTGATATTGGTTACTCCCAAGATAAAAAGTGGCACTATTGTTTTTCTATCACTTGGAAGAGGGAGAATTATAACAACCAAAATTTCAGTAACTTGCTGCAAGATGATGTATTCTAGAAATGACAGGGAACCAGTAACCACAAATTCTCAACATCTAAAATTTAAAATACAATAGAAAGTGTATTAGTTTAGGAAAATGGAAACAAATGAGTGCTGTGAGAGGGAGAATCAGTTTTCTCCAGGATCTAGTCCTGATAGATTTTACAATGTGAAGTGGTCACCCCTAAATACATGTACATACTAGAAACCCTAAATATATTCAGTATAGTGTGTGTATTTATGTGTATGTGTTTGTGCATGTTTGTTAAAAAATAATAATTAAATAAGAATTGGTCATGACTTTGAAAATGAATAGGAGAAACATGGGAGAAATTGAAGATATTATTATACCTGGCCCAAATGAAGACATTATGATACTTGATTTCCTGTTGTATTTCAGAGTAAATTCAGAAATGACAGCATCAGTGGAACAGAACAAAGATCTGCTTATAAATTCCTAAAGCTACAGTCACTTAGTATTTGATGAAGATACCAAAGTGCTCACTGGAAAGATAATAGTCTATAACAAATAGTTCTAAAAAATAGCATATCTACACATGGAAGAATTAAACTAGCTCCCATTTCTCAATTTTCACACAAACCAGTTCCAAATGGATCAAAGACATGAACTATAGGCCTAAAATTCTGAAAATGTTTTGTCAGATGCTAGAGCAAGCAGAAGAGTTCAAGAGAAGAGAACAGGTAAGGACACTCCAGTTGCTCTGTAAATCATGATGTAAATCAACAGATATTCTGAAAAAACTTCAGAACAACAAAGGAGTTTCATGAATGAATAAATAGCCCTCAGAGTGTGAGAAAATCTTTGTCAGAAGATTAATAATCAGAATAAACAAAGAAATAAAATCCAAATGACAAGGAAACAAAAGGAGGGTTTTCAATAAAAGACATGGAAATGGCCAATATACCTATTTTCAAGTATTCATCATCCCTCACCACCAGGCTAATCAAAACATAAACTACCTTGATATTCTATTTAATTCCAGTAATACAGACAATCATCAAGACAAACAAATGTCACCAAACAATGCAAAGGAGCCCTCATTCCCTGTTGACCAAAGATGAAATAGCTGTAGCTGATATTTAAATGAGCATGTGCTTTTCTTACTAAAACCCCAAATAGATTTGCCATATCCTCTAGCACAAAAGAAAATATAACTATTAAATTTTTGGGGGGAGAACAATAAACATATATAGAGGAAAATTTATGGCATAGAACACAAATATTAAAAAAGGTAAAAGGTCAAATTAATTGTGCTAGGAACTCAAATGAGCAGAGAAAATTAAACACACACGCACATACACACACATAAATGTTCACACATACATGTACAAAAATAGAGAGAGACAGAGATAGATAATCAATTGAAATTGAAAACAAAATGTTAAAGAGAGTCAATGAAGACAAAAGCTTGTCCTCTTAATAGAGTGATTAATAAAGAAGCTATTAGCTGAGCTAAAAAATAAAGGGGCATAAATCATGAGGATGAGAAATGAAAGATAAGGCATTTTATACATGCCAATATAATTTAGAGTAACAAATGAGTACTATGAGTAACTTCATCTCCACATGTTGGTCAACTGGATCAAAGCACCATTGTCTTGAAATACAAAACATTTACAATTACTTTAGTAAATGTTTTCCAGTAGCCCACCATTAGCTGACTCAAAAATCTAAGCTGGAGTTACACATAATCTCTCAACATTCAATGAACATACAAAGGGTATGCATCTGACATTGTCTTTATTTCCACCTTTCCTTATGTATGCTCAGGAGTAATCATGGCCAACATCAGACCCCACCATGGGGATTTGAAGGAATTAGTCCTACATAGGTCCTGGGAAATTGCCATATCTCTAATTAGTTAAGCACTATCTGGACTCCTCCGGGATGCAGAGCCTCTGGGTCCAGAGATGACTAGAATAGACATATAAGAAGGAGTTGTTTACAGAGGCTGTTCTTTCCTGTGCTTATAATGAATAAATGTGACCAGGATCTGAAGCAGGACATTAATATACTCTGTCATCCTAGATAAATTGTCAGGATGTGCCATACTCTCTTCCAACTTATGAATCTTGCATTTCCAGTGTTATGACAGTATGAGTTGCAGTTTTCAGGTATGACAACAATTCTTGCCATTCTTATACTTTACAACACTATGCCATACTGTCAAAATACCTTGTCTATAGTTACATTGATAGTCATTTTGGTAATGATGGGGATTACTACAATGACTTACTAGGCAAGTCCTTTTCCATTTCCATCTAATAATAGATCATTAGAATAGGAGCAATGCTGAAGTTCTTAAGACTTATTTTAGAACAGCTTAAGGTATGGAACTTTGAGCAGATATCCTATCAAAAAGAACTTGTTCCTTGCTGCAAAATATCAGCTAGAGTACTGACATCACTCAAGTGTCCACTTATTAAATTTGATATCAGATTCAAAAGCAGAAACAGTGGTTTTAGAGAATCCCAGGTGACTTTCATACCTATTAAATGCTAGTACTGTGTCCATGGGAGTTACTCATCTTCTATTCAGGTCAAGAATTGTGAGTTTAAAAACTGAAGGAGGGAAGTCAATTAAGTCATGAACAGCAAATTTCACAGGTGACCTCTGCTGTGTAATCTCTGCTTGTGAGCCTGTATAAGACATGGGGCCCACTCATTCACAGGATTTGAGTAATTCTAAGAAACTAGGTGTATGATTTCTCCTGTATTTCTTTCCCTTTTCTCACCAAAAAAAAATCCAAGTGTTAAACTGCTACTGCAGCTCATTAATGTCCATTAGCAGGATGGAGACTCCAGCGGCTGAACTCAGATAGTGTCATGGAATGATATCCTACCTCTCAGTGTACTGTTTATTTTCTTCTTCTGTTTTCAGGTAGAGGTGAACTTGGGGTCTTGGGCATGCTTGATAACTACAGTAGCACTGAGATACACCCCAGTCCCTGTTCCCACATGTCTTGGTGCTTCTCATGACTTCTTTGCCAGCTTTTATATACACTGGCTTTCATTAGACAGTTATCTAGAAGAAATCAGAACAGGACAAGGAACTCTTTTAAGATAGATCCCACACAATTGATAAGTCCAGTAGCTGTAGACCAGACTCCCTGGAGGAGTGGAGGTTACAGTTTCACATCCAAGGCAGACTGTATGATGTTCCTGGAGAAACTGTAGACTTTCTCTTTTTAATTTCAACTGCTCCTTTGAGGCCCATGACATTATGAAGGATTGGAGTTGTTTTCTCTGATAATATGAATTACTAATTTAAGTGTTAATAATATTGCTAAAACACGAAATATCCAGAACTATATTTTGAACAAAATTGCTATCAAGACCTATACCACTTCCTACAATGAATAACTACCACATTAGGTAATTAAGTATTAATATCTGAAATAAATTTAAGTGAAGGATTAAACATAGCTCCTGCTTCACATTTGTTACTTTTTTGGTATTCATGAAATATTCATCATAAATATTTTTCAACATTACTGTCTTTAGAATCATATGAATTGAAGCATAAAAGTTTTGAGTCATTAGTATTTTTGAAAAGAGCAAAACATACTCATCACCCTAATACTTTCCACAAATACAATCATATCTGTGAAATTAATCACAGAGTTTCAAATTTACATGATAAAAGCTCAAATTTAGTGACTTTATATTCTTGGGAGACTGTAGAAAAGTAATTATTTGGGTTTAATGTGTATCTTTGCCTTAAATTTCAGAGTCTATGTCTCCCTTCATAGCATAGGTAGAACTTGCCTTGCTTTAGGATGAGGGCAGACATGGTCTTTCCTGCATGAAGTTACAGTCTGACAACAATGCTCAAGGCCATCAGTATCTGTGAAATGATACCAGATCCCAGGGCACCAGGGTACAAGTTCTTACTGTGTGTAGGGACACAAGGAAGGTTTAACTTAGAACATGGAATGTCATATTGTGGAAAATGAGTTGCACAAGCCACACCAAAAAGGAGATGTGATAGACAAGGAGAATTCCAACCAGAAATTATGAGTGCACAAAATTCAATTTGAAGTACAGCACTGCTGAAGAAAGAATACGGGCACTGGGTGAGGCTGGTAATCTGACACATTAAAGTATTTGTGCACATCTTGGGACTTAAATAATATTATGATGATTGTTTGTACAAAAGTCTGTCAATAAAATCCACACAATAAAACTATAGAATGGGGTGAAAACAGTTGCCTAGAATAAGTAGACAGGCAGGAAGTAGATATGTCAATACATTTTCCATAACAGAAGCAATTAGTAATCATTAGGCAATACTAGACTATTAGAACATTCTAAAGCAATGTTAAGTAAAGCCATCATGGCTATAATAACTGAACATATTTGTATGTAGAGATTGCAATTGTTTTGATGAGAGTAAGAGTAACTACTATAGAACTTGGCAACACGTCGTGTGTATAAGAGAAACATGTCTGTTTTCATTAGACCATAGAGATAATTGGGGTAGCAGTTGCCAGTAGAACATGAAGGACTGGGTTTGAATGCCGTCTCTTACCAAAGACAACTGAGGAAATTCAGTATCAAGGTTGTTACATACCATGTAGCAAAAATTATAAAAAATAAAGAATATGAAAATATTTCTTTCTAAAGTAAAGAAATGACAGAAAGACTAAAAGTGATCTATGGATTCATGTTCATTCAACAATTGGGAATTTGCAAAACAGTTAATTATATTTCTTAAAGTCATTTCAGGCAGATCATGAGTGTAAACAATCAAACTGTCATTTCCAAGTTCCTCCTCCTGGGCCTGCCCATTCCCCTAGAGCACCAGCACCTGTTCTATGTCCTGTTCTTAGCCATGTACCTCACCACTGTCCTGGGGAACCTGCTCATCGTCATCCTCATTCTACTGGACTCCCATCTCCACACACCCATGTACTTGTTTCTCAGCAACTTGTCCTTCTCTGACCTCTGCTTCTCCTCTGTCACAATGCCCAAATTGCTGCAGAACATGCAGACTCAGGACCCATTCATCTCCTATGTGGATTGTCTCATACAAATGTACTTTTTTATGGTTTTTGGAGACATGGAGAGCTTGCTTCTTGTGGTCATGGCCTATGACCGCTATGTGGCCATCTGCTTCCCCCTTCATTATACCAGCATCATGAGTCCCAAGCACTGTGCTTGTTTGTTGCTGCCACTGTGGATGCTGGCCACATTCAATGCTGTGATTAATACCCTGCTCATGGCTAGATTGTCTTTTTGTGAGAACAATGTAATTCCCCACTTTTTCTGTGACATACCTTCACTTCTGGAACTGGCCTGCTCAGATACGTATGTCAATGAGTTGATGATATTTATCTCAGGAGGGCCCATCATTCTTGTACCATTCCTATTAATTGTTATGTCCTATGCACAGATTGTTTCATCCATTCTCAAGGTTTCTTCCTCCCAGGGCATCCACAAAGTCTTCTCTACTTGTGGGTCCCACTTGTCAGTAGTGTCTTTGTTTTATGGGACAGTTATTGGTCTCTACTTCTGTCCATCAGCTAATAACTCTACTGTGAAGGAGACTGTCATGGCTATGATGTACACAGTGGTGACTCCCATGCTGAACCCTTTCATCTACAGCCTGAGGAACAGAGACATAAAGGGGGCCCTGATAAAAGTTATCTGCAGTAAGAAAATCTCTTTGTAAATGTAGCACTTGGGATTTTTACCTAATTTTATGTAATAAATGTAATAATGTTAACATTTTATGCAGCTGTTGTCCCTCATCATAGAACCTACATAAAGAGGCCTAAGCAATCTATGGGGCCTTGGGTAGTAGATCAGTATTTATCACTGGCATACAAATGGGCTTACGGTGCCCATTCCACAATGAGGGATGCTCTCTCAGCTTGGACTCTTGTGGGAGGGCCTAGGCCCTGCCCTGGATGAAATGACAGACTATGGACACCCCCATGGAGGGCCTCATCCTCCCTGGGGAAAGGAGTGGGGATTGGGGGAGGGGGATGAGGGGTTGGTGGGAAGGGATGGGAGGAGGGGAGGGAGAGTGAGAGTGAGCTGGGATTGACATGTAAAGCAACCTTGTTTCTAATTTAAATTTGAAAATAAAAATTAAAAATTAAAAAAATGTGCTATGAAGGGTAAAGGGGGAAATCTAGGGGAAGGATTTTAACTGGGGATGGAGTAGGGTAATACAGAGAAAGAGAGATGAAGCAGATATTCAGGATGCTTGAAAAGGCCACATACTGTATATGTGGATGTGAATATCTATTTTTAAATGTAGTTTTGCATCATTGTGTGGCAATGCTTTTCTCAAGAGCCATAGGCTACCTAACAAAATCCAAGTTCTAGACATGGGAAACATCCCTTCAAGTTGTTGATCAGCTGAACCCATGAGACTGTAAAAAAAACACATAAGCTGTTGCCTTTGTGCTAGGTTTCCTTCTAGACCCTGAAGGTAAGATCCTATTGCTGAAGACACCACATATTTCAGAAACAGGACTTGGAAGAACTGAGCTGGAACTGACTCAGGAGTCCCCCTCTTTGGGGACTAGCCGTCACAGTACTGGAAGGTGCTATGTAAGGTGCCAGGGGCGAACGGTAATCAGTATTCACACCCCACTCTAAAGTTCATGAACCAAAACAGCAAGAAGCAGCGCAAGGCATCTGAAGTGGTACAATGGTGGCACTTTTATCTTGAGAGTAACCAACAGCTCTTCAATTGCACTTACATCCCAATTGATAGGAAGGAATTCATGCCTACGTACTGAAGACTTAGCCGGTCATAGGCCCTGGATGGAGGAGATTCAATACCGTCCTTTAAAAAATTCTTTAACTTTTATTGATTGTTCATTGATTTTATAACGTGCATCCTCACTCCAATTATCTCCCCATCTCCTCACATCTGCCCTATGTCCTTGCAACTTACCCTCACCAAATAAAACAATTTTTAAAAGAAAAACCCAACCCAAACAAAACAAACAGTAAGAAGAGAGAAGAATCTCATTGTGGAAGCTATAGGTAGCCTGTTGAGTCACACAGTTTACCCTTTAGTGTGTTCATATTTGCTAGTAAGTGTTAATTGCTATGAGTCATTAGTCTGGTTTGAGGCTTCTGGCTTCAAACTATTGATAATGGACTCTGCCCGGGGCTCTTCTTGGATACCCTGCTGCTGTCCTGTGTCATGGAGATCCTCAGTTTTGGATCTGTAGTTATATCCCCTTTACATGCTCCAGTAGTTCATAGATAAGGTGGATGTTGGGGTGGGCTAACTCATAAGCCTAGTTGTAGGCCTGGGTTGTAGTTGGGTTGATCAGCTCCAGCTTTCCTTCATTGTCTTGACCTAGATGAACTCTGTGGCACTTCCTCAGCTGGCTCACTCAATGCAGCCTGCAGCAAGAAGCAGGCCCAGTTCTCCTGCTCTCAGGTCCTTAGATCTGGCTCACCCATACTCACGCCACCAGGACCAGCTCTACTCTTTCGCCCAGGCAAGATGCAGGGCCCTTGTCCCCAACTGCTGTAGTGGGCATAGGTGCAGAGGAGGGGTCAGTTCTTCTTCTCTCCCATCCTTAAGACTGGCTTACCTGCAGCCTTGACGACAGAGCCAGCTCTCATTTGTTGCCCAGAGAGAGCACAGGGACTGTTCTCTTGTGTGCTGCAGCTGGTGAGGGGCAACACTAATTCTCCCACTCTTATGATCCTGCGACCACCTCTCTCACCTGCTGCAGATGATAATGGATGAGGTGGGGAGGGCATCTCTCTCTCACCCATGCTAACACATGTCAGATGATGGGGAATGGCTCAACTCTCTTCTCATGCCCTCTGGGCTGGCTCACCTGTGTCCCTAACAGGGTCTGCTCTAATATGCTGCCCATGTGAGGTATGGTGAGGGGTGGGGTCATTTTCCTTGAGTTTTAGGGCCACTTTTCTCTGGGAGCAGGACCAGGTCTTCTGTTGCAGTATCCTGAGAGGGGCAGGGCTGGCTATCTCAGGGCATTGAAGGGCAGGGTCAGCTCAGCCTGGCCCTCAGATTTGAACAAGCATGGCTACTGTTGAAATAACACCGGCCATGAACATCAACACTGACCTCAGCTGTATCAGGACCACAGATGCATATGTAGCCCTTGGCAGCAGCACAGGCCTAGATGTCATCATGACCCTTGTGGAAGCACAGGCCACCCAGATAAGTATGTCTGATTGCAACATGGCCTTCAGACATCGACATGATCTCAGATGACTGTCCAGACATGGCCCTTGGTGGTAACAGGAGCCATGGGTATCAACTCAGACCCTGGCTGATGTAGGTCCATGGACCCAGACATGACAATCAGCAGCAGCCCTTGATCGATGACAGAATGGTTCTGGAAGGCACTGTAGACCACTCAGATCAGCATGGCCATGGCAATAGCACATTCCTTGGACACCCACATGACCAGAGATTGCAGCCTAGACCCTGGGCATCCAGGTGACCTTTGGTGGCAACATGGGTCAGGACATCAACACACACCCTGGGTGTGGTAGGACTATGGATTTAGGCCTGGTCCTCACCAGCAGCCTAGGCCTGGGTGTCAGCATGGCTACAGGTGGCATCATTGATCACTCAGAGCAGCATGGCTCCCAAGGCATCATAGCTCATGGATGCCAACGTGGGCCCTGGTAACAGCATAGACTTCAAGCCTCTACTTGGCCTTCAGTGTTGCTAAGACCCACAGACATCCAAAACTTGGTCCTTGTTAATAGCCCAGGCCCAGACATCACCTTGGACTTGGGTGGCTAACAGGTCATTCACATCAGCCTGTTCCTCACCACCTTCACCTCTTCAAATCTGCCTTTCTCCCCAGTCCACGAATCATTCTGCCTCTCTCTCTTCCATTTCCCCACCCTGTACTCATTCACCATAATGGTGCCTGACTTCCTGGTGTCAGGAGCACTTGGTTGAGTCCTGCCCACACCAGCCATAAGGCATGGCACAGAGCTGTTGCTCCATTTCTTTAAACAGTTTTAGCTGTATTCTAAGTGCTTATTCTTTTACGCAGAGATAAGTGTAGCTATCTCCACTCATTAAAGATCTTTTTATTGGCAACAGATAGAGACTATTTCTGAGATTTATGACTGGTCAAATGTAGGGAACTAGTGACTGTGCCTTGTCCACAGTCCCAGTTGCTGTATCTTCAGTGCAACCACTGCACCCAAAGACAGGGCACCATCTTGGATGTGGGGACAACAATTTTAAAAAACAGATAACTAGTACCTTGCTGCAAGATAGTGTCTTCTGGACATGACAGGAAAGTAGCAACCATGAACTCCCAACCCCTCAGTGATTTTAAAATATGATAGAAATCCTGTTTATTTAGTAAAATGACAATAATGGCTGCTGTATGAAGTAGAACATCTAGTTCTCTGATCTTTTATTAGGTAAATACATGTACATACCAGAATGACTAAATATATACAATATAATGTGTGTGTGTGGTGAAACAATAATATTAAAGAATTGGTCATGAATTTGAAAGGGAGTAGGGAGAGATATGTGAAGAGTTAGAAGAAGAAATTGAGAGGTAGAAATGATGTAAATACAGTATTGATGCATAAAATTCTTTAAAAGGCAAATGAAAACAGAAACATAAGCAAATAAGTCAATGGTCTCTGTCACAAACACTTTAGAAGAATAAAAAGTAAAGTTTCAAAAAGACACAAGTAGGTAGAAATATATCCCATGCTCATGAGTTGAAAGAATCAATATTGAGAAAATGGATGTCTCACTGAAAGAAATATACAAATTCAATGCATTTCCTGCAAAGTCTGCTGACATTTCCACACTGAAATAGAAAAGAGAAAACATTCATATGGGAACAAAGAAGACCTTGGATATCCAAATAAATCAGTGTATCCTTCAAAAATAATAGTAAATGTGATTATAAATACCACCATACTTGTTTTTCTGTCATATTTCAGTCATGACAGCACCAACAGAACAGAACAAAGCTCTGGGTAGAAACCCCTGAAGATACAGACACCTAATATTTGACAAAGATTCCAAAAATCCAAAAATGCTTATAAGGAGACAAGAGTCTGTAATAAATAGTGATTAGAAAATGAGCACCTAGATGTAGAAGAATGAAACTCGTTTTAATTTTTTGATATGGCACAAATCAAATCATCCAATCACAAAACCTTCATCCTACAATTTGTTCCGCCTTCAAGATGTTCAAGAGGTAAAGGTGGCACAGTAATTTTGGGAGTGTTCAACTAATAAATGGTCCAGCTTGAGAATCTTACTATGAGAGGGAGCCACTCCTGACAGTCTGAAGGTGAAGACCCACATCCTGGAGAGTCCAGAGACCTAGGATAGAGTCAAATACGTCTGGCAAAAAGGGAATGAAATGATTCCTAATTATACTCTACTATATACATAGATTGTTATCTTTCCTGATTATCATCAGGTATACTTCACTCAGCAACTGATGGAAACAGATGCAGAGGCCCACAGCCAAATTTGAGGCAGAACTTAGGTAATGCTCTTTAGAAAGGGAGGATGGATTGTAGGAGATTGAAGGGTCAAGGACACCACAAGAAAACCTATAGAATCAATGACCTTGTTCTCATAGGTGCTCATAGAGACTGAACCAACAACTAGTGAGCCTGTGTGGGACTGACCTATGCCCTCTGCATATATGGGGCAGTATTGCA